TGAAAGACAACGTCATCATGCTGAAGCTCAGGTATGATATACTTGTTAATAGAGTTCCCTATTAATCATCTTAAACAAAAGCTACTCAAGAAAGTAACAAACTTTCTCCCAAAAATATGGCAGAAAAGCAACACGATCTAAGTGAAAACAAAACTGGGGAAAAAAAATCGATTGTTCCGGTTAATATAAAAAAACAAACCCGACTTATGCCTCATAAGGCAGAACTTGACTAAGAACCAACTGGAAATACTAGATCCTGAATTGTGGGATTTGTTAATAAGGAGTTGAAAATTTTGAAATCATAGAATCCATGTCACTCTTAATTCTTAAACAACGTATAAACATCTTTCTAAAATTGAACCAATGGTTTGAATTCACATCCTTCTAAAATCTTGTAAAGTGATTTGAAATGCAGAGAAAGTGCAGCTAAACTGTGGTCCCACAAGACAAACATCTATCTTCCCCATATGCATGTTGTGCAAGACAACACTCCAACTAATCTCTGAACAGAGCTTCTAACATAAGTATTTATTATATTTTATGGATTAGAAATTTTTAGTACTTCATTGTTAATTTTTATGAAATAAAGACCCTTACATATCACATGCCCTATCCTGAGAAACCACAATAATTCAATTTTATTCAATTCAAACTCAAGTTTCTTTAATTCTCAACTTAAAAATTAAATAATTTTGTTCCCATTTCTTAGTTAATTGAAATCTTTTCAAGAACACGTAAATATTTTTCTCAAACTTTTCACTTCCTTGGTTTTTATGTAGGCATAAAAGGTTCTACTATTTTTTAAATATGATAGACTCCACATATACACATTGACATTTATTATTCAAATACTTGTTCTAGAGTTTTTTTTTCCCCTTCCTCCCTCCCCCCTCCCTCCTCCCCTTTTTTTTTTTTTTTAGTGACAGGAATGGGTAAAATAAAAGTAAGCCTCTTGATTCTATGGTTTAGATTATTTGTTAATTTGATTATTTAGATTGCTGGCAAACACATTGTCTTTTGGTAATTTCTCAGCTATTACATTCATTAGGTGAGCAAGGATGATACATTGAAGATGTATAGTAGTATGGTTACCCTTCAAACTATGGACACCATCTTCTACAAAGCACAAAGGCAAGGAATAGTTTCCTTCTATCTCACCTCATATGGAGAAAAGGCTATCATCTCTAGAGACATTTTATGTAGTATACATAGCATAGAATGCAAATAAATATCTAGAGATAGCAAGCAAATGCTTGTGCTGTTTGGAGCTTATATTATATATGAACATTTTTAATTATTTTATAAAAAATAATCAATTGAACAAGTGGAAGAAGACTTGACTAAGGAGTTTAAACCATAGTCTAAGTAATATTTTTGGCAAATTGAAAGGTCACAATGAGTAAAAATGAGTGTTGCTACTGTTTTTGGAGTGTTGCTACTGTAGAAAATGAGTGTTGCTACTACTGTTAGTTGCTAGTTACTGCTGCAGAAATGGAGTGCTGTTAGCTGCTGCAAAAATGGAGTGCTGCTAGCTGCTGCTGTTGCTGCTGTTAGTTGCTGCTAGTTGCTAGATGTGGAAAGCTCTACCTTGTGCTGTTCTTTGGATCAATTTGGATGAAGACAGAGGCGGCAATATGGATGAAGACTCTCTCCCTGGGCAGGTTCTACTATGTGCATAGAAGATGTATAGTAGTATGGTTACCCTTCAAACTATGGACACCATCTTCTACAAAGCACAAAGGCAAGGAATAGTTTCCTTCTATCTCACCTCATATGGAGAAAAGGCTATCATCTCTAGAGACATTTTATGTAGTAGACATAGCATAGAATGCAAATAAATATATAGAGATAGCAAGCAAATGCTTGTGCTGTTTGGAGCTTATATTATATATGAACATTTTTAATTATTTTATAAAAAATAATCAATTGAACAAGTGGAAGAAGACTTGACTAAGGAGTTTAAACCATAGTCTAAGTAATATTTTTGGCAAATTGAAAGGTCACAATGAGTAAAAATGAGTGTTGCTACTATTTTTGGAGTGTTGCTACTGTAGAAAATGAGTATTGCTGCTACTGTTAGTTGCTAGTTGCTGCTGCAGAAATGGAGTGCTGCTAGCTGCTGCAAAAATGGAGTGTTGCTAGCTGCTGTTGTTGCTGCTGTTAGTTGCTACTAGTTGCTAGATATGGAAAGCTCTACCTTGTGCTGTTCTTTGGATCAATTTGGATGAACACAGAGGTGGCAATATGGATGAAGACTCTCTCCCTGGGCAGGTTCTACTCTGTGCATAACTTTGTGGCAAATCTACAGCAGGTAAAGAAGTCCATTGGGTTAGGTAGATGAGTTTGAGTTGGGTGTTTGGAAATGTGATTAGTTTGTTTTGCTGAAGAAGTTTGTTCTGATCTTACCTCTAGAAAATAGGCCTAAGGACGAAATTTGTGTCAAGCGAAGAAGATTGTGGATTGGGGTTGTGGATTTGGCCATTTACGCAGCTTCCGTTGAACCATTGTTTGCTTATTTTCTGTAAAGAAGCTCGAAAAATACCTTGATGACTTCAATTTTGCTCTGAATTTGATATTTTTTTTTTAGTGGAATTCTTGTGATTTTGGGTTTGCTTCAATCTCGTTTTACATCGAGTCAATTAATTGATTCCCAAGAGCAGAGGATAGAGTTTCTCATCGTTCTTCTGGTTCTGTTATCATTGGGTAAGCTTCTAATGCTTAGTACCTCATTTTTATTTGAATTTTAGTACTTAATTTCTTGACTTAGTTAAGAACTCTTGCATGACCCACTAAAATTTTATGATATTAGTGAAGTTGCTGATTAATTTGTTGCCTACTTTATGCTTTTGGACTGCTGATTAATTTGTTGCCTATTTAATTCTTTTTTGCTTGGAGGTTTGTCTCAATGTTGATTGCTTTGATGTATTCTATGAAATTGAAATTGAATTGATTCAATACCGGAAAGATTTATAAATGACCAATCCTCCCTCGTAGATTCACCAGATGGGTCGAAGCCCAAACCCCATTTTCTGAAACAAATTGTGGAAAGATCTTCTCATCCACTAAAGATAAGAAATTTCTTGCAATTGAATGTATTTTGTTAGCCTTTTGTTTTGTGGGTATCTTGTGTTTTTATGTTACTGCTATGAAATTGAGGGTTCGTGTTGTGTGTTGCTGATAGCCCATCTATTACTACTGCATGTGCCAGCTTATAGTAAAAGGTAAGTGTAGACACTCCATTTTTGACCGCCCATAAGACTTAGGCGTCACTGATTGATCACCCGATGATAAAAGTTGTGCTATGCAAATTTTCGATTTCTTTAGCAAGGAGAGCTCTAAATCCCAACCTTACACCCCATTTTGGACCAAAACTATTTTATACCTCAAAACCCTCTCTTTCAAAATATTTTTGAAAATGTTTCTAGGATATTCTGAGGCTTGCATTTCGTTAAAAATTACACTTTTCGGTAAACCGAGTAAGGACAAAGTGAAAATAAATGGAAGAGAGGTAAACTCTTTGAAAAATCTTTTAAACATCTTATTAAAGGTTTTGAGTTGAAGAAAATAAGAGGGGGGGAAGAAACCTAGTTGGCGAAATGGTTGAGTATGAAACCGTTGAGCAAGAACTGCGCAGCCTTCACTAAATCAGGCCTAACCTTTTGTACACTTGGACTTTAGTTATGAGACTACCACCATTGGAAAGTGGACTTCCGAGGCTTCATTTTAGACTCAAGAATCTCCTAAAGCCGAGTCTGAATGAGGGAGATATGGCTATTTGAAGTTAGGTATCCATCCGTTTAAGACATAAATAAGCAATCTCCACAAAAATAGGCATATATCTTTGCACACTTAGAATTTAGATGTGAGGCTGCCACCATTATAAAAGACTTCCGAGGCTTCAATTTAGACTCAAGAATGACCTAAAATCGAGTCCGGATGAGAGAGATATACCCATTTGAAGTCGGGCTTGGAAGCAAATTTTTGGTGGCCGGCCACCGGCAATGTGCCGGCCACGAGTGTAAAACCCAGATATTTTCTCCAGTTGTTTCCACAAAGTTCTAGTTGTCCCTTTTTAGATATTTTTGACCTAAGGCTCATTTTTTCTATATATAGAGGACCTCTCTTCTTGCTTCCAAGGTTAGAAACATTTAGGAGTGAGAAATAATTTTGGAAAATATCCTCTCTCTCTACAATTCTCTCTCTCTCTTGCAACTTGCATAGCCTATGCCCAAACATTCTAAACCAAACCTAGAGAACTTCTTGCTGAGATGATTTAAGCTTGAATTTGAGCTCTTGAAGCACTTGAGAGTGTGAAATTGGTGGTTTGTGACTTAAGGGTTCATTCATCTTCAAGATGTATACCTTCTCTTGCCTTTGTACCATCTTTACACCACTTGTTTTCCATTTTTTATTACTATTTTTAAGCTCTTTAAAACCTGTTTTTATGGGCTGAAGCTTGTGATTTAAGGCTATTAAAGGTAGAGGGGTTAACCACCCTTCTTTGAACCTTGTTCTCTAAGCCTTTCCACTTGTGTTTCCCATGTCTTCATCAATTTTTTTTGAGCTTTTTACCACTGATTTTCAGAGGCTAAAAAAATGATTTTGAAGTCCCAAAATGAAGGGGTTAGACACCCCTCCTTTGGCTTGTTTACTTGCTGTAATTGCTCCATGTTTTAGCTTATTATTTTAACTACTTTTGTCTTCATTCCAGCACATTTTTGAATTGTTTTTGGGCTGTATAAAATCTATATTTTTGGGCTGAAGCTTGTGGTTTAAGGCCTTAAAGGGTAGAGGGAGGTTTACCTTTCATTCCACCTAGGTGTTCAAGGCTTTTACCCTTGTGTTTTCCACCTTTGCACTATTTTTTTTTTTTTTTGAGCTTTTAAACACTATTTTTCAGAGTTTTTTCAGTGGCCAAAATCATGTTTTGAAGTCTAAATTTGGAGGGGTTAACGTCCTCCCTTGTGTCTTGCTTACTAACCTAGTTTGTGCTATGTTTTAGAATGTTAATCTAGCCTTTTTTGTCTTAATTTCAACATGTTTTAGGACTTATTTTTTTACTGTTTTAGCACTATTTTAAGCTGCTAGTTCCATTTGAGCTTTCTTTTGCATGCTTGTAGTGTAATAGTCCTCATGAGTTTGGTGTTCTAGGCCTTAGACACCATCTTTTTTGAGTTGATAACATTTATTTATGCTTTTCTCATTCATTCTTAGCACTAATAATCTCTGCAACCTCCCTCCTTTCTTGGTTTTTGTTTTTCTTTGAGAGTTGTTTCAAGCCTCTTATTCTTTTAAGCATGAGATTGAGATTGTCATGCTTAATGGTTTAATCCCTTTTAGGGGTTCATTATTAACGGCATGACATCTCTTTCATGTCTTAAATTAACTCTTGGTTTGGTACTTTACGCCACTGGAGGACTTAAACTCACCCTTTGGACCCAATTGATTAAAGAATGGTTGGTAACCTAAAATGGAGTAATTAAAATTGAGGCTAAAATGGTGAAAGATAATAATTTGGTTGTGTTCAATCGAACGTTAATTGAACACATGGAACTTGGACCATTTCATACTTGCTAGTGATGAAATGGTTCAAGGCTCCAAGGTCACCACTTCCCTTGATCATCCATGATAAGGAGGTGGTCTTTAGAGTCTCTTTTTGTTGCATTTATTGAAATTGCACACTTAGGTTCACAAGCCATCATGCAATGAAATTTCTTGAGTTGGTGGTTTGTGACTTAAGTTCACCACTCCTTGGATTTGCTCATGAAAATGAAGGGTGAGTTGTGCGGACAAACCCTTGAAATACCCTGTATAACTAGTGGCTGGCAACCTTCATCACTGGCCGGCCGACCACTGATGAAAAATTAAGCAGTGTGTTTTTGAAGTGGAGCAGAGTTGTCCTGGAAGTAGGCAACAGTGTTGGTGTTCAACTATGCAAACAGAGGCATTCAGAAGCAAAATGGTGGGTTTTCAAGTGGAAACCACGTATGAGCATTTTTCGCATATCGAACCTGTTTAGCTTAAATATTTAGCTTACATATTGTTGCACTTAATTAGTTGTAGCTAGTTAATTTTGTCAATTGTTGTAATTAATTAGTTAGTTAATTAGTTATTCAATTTTGTTTTGTAATTAATTAGTTAACTAGAATAGTTTGTTAATTCAAGTGTTGTAATAATTAGTTAAGTAGTTTAGCTAGTTTATTCATTTCGATTAGTTAGTTAGTTAATTAGCTTAGCTTAATTAACTTAGTTCATTCGGACTCTCCTTCGTGAGAGCGCAATGTAATAATGTGTATGTCTTTCAACCCCACGTCTTTCTCCCTTTTATTTACTAGTTTATGATGGTTAGTTTAGGGACATCACATCTTGTTTAGCATACTCTATGTTTGCATCCACTTGTACTGCATGCACCGATGCTCGGTTCATCATTCTAACTGCATTGTTAGTTTAAATACTTCTTTAAATACATGCTTAGACCGCATGCTATCTAATTGATTCATATTCCATGTTAAATAGCCAACCTTATTTAGATTGCATATTGCATGTGTTGCATTAGTCATATTGCATAGTTAGGAATCATGCATTTTTCTAACTCTTTTGTTTGTTTTGGCTTGGAGTACTAGGTGAGCCTTTCCTCGCTTTAGCATAATTACATGAGTGTTGATGTTACCATGTTTAGCATGCTTGCCATGAGGCTAATTGCTTAAATGCTATAATTGCTTGAATGCCTGTGATTGAAGGCTTATTGCTTGAATTGGAATAATTTGAGTAATGCTCATATGCGATCACTTTTTCAAGTAGTACATATTTCGAAACAATTTTCAAAACGAACATGAATCAAATGTTCTAATTCTTGCAAAGTTAGTCTATACTTGTATGTGTGCACATCACATAGTAATACTAGCCTAATAAACTAGAACAAGAGCATATAATGTAGATAAGAATCATATCATGATTAGTAGAGGCCAATTTTGATCGGGCGAGCGGGGGTGCTCAAATACATTCATGACCTTCCTCTCTCGTACCTAAGTTCCCGAACTGAGACAATCTTGATGATGACGGACACGTGGACTTTGGCAGGAGTCATAGGTTTCCAAAATATTTAGGTGGTAACTCTGTATCTGGCAAAGCAGTCAATTTTTGGCAATTTGATTCAAAATCGATTTTTCAAAACATTTGTCGGATTTGTACTCTTTAGTGTTTATCAATTTCATATTGCACTTGTGAGATTAGATTCAAAACCGCGGCAATCCGAACTGTATGGCTTATTTCGAACTTCCGAAAAGGGACGCGAAAAAGTCGAGCTACAGTAAGTTTTTAGCCTAACATATAATGGCAGTATTCTAGTGTTATACCAAATAAGATTCTGCAAATCAACTCATAGTTAATTAATTTAGGTATTTCATAGCACAATAATTTATGGTTTACTTAAATGTTTTATTTGGTACTAGTCCAACTGAGAAGTTAGGAGGGTTATGATCATGGGTATGGTATGATATTTCTATTTTGTCTAAATTTAGATTTATCTCTTATTCAAATTGTGCTCATACTGTTACTTGTTGCCCTTGTTAATTCATAACAATTCAATTTCAGTTAGTGTCCCACAATATCATAGCTCTTATTTCTTATTATAAGGTGTCACTCTACATGGATTGATTTCAGGAAATCCTGGCTTTTGTAACTATATCTGCATGTGATTTGTCTATTGTCATTGTTAATTGAATAATCTTAGAACTAAAGTTCTTGGAATATGTGCAGACTGCAGAGGAGGCTATGGCATCGATTGAATCAACATTTTCGTTGGATGTCAATCCAAAATTGGATTGGTGAGTTTGTTATTGATTTTTCCCACAATTGCTTTACTTCTTGCATTAATCAAAATGGCTGAAAAAACTCTTTCTTTCTTTTTTTTGATTAAAATTTTAGCTTTCGATTGACAACCTCATCATGACATTGTTCAAATTGTTTGTTAGGCTCTAATTTATTTAGCCATGAATGATATTATGTTTCTTTTTTTATTGTTATTTTTATTTTAGTTGATAGATTTAGTTTTCTTTTTCTTTCTATTTTCCTAATTATCCCTTTTAGTCACTGCCTTAAAAGGGAAAATAAATTGGATTTGTGTAGTCGAAAAAGGGCATTCCGAGGGTGAAAATTTAAAACAGCCCCCAAACCACCGTGTGGCTCTCACGAACAGCTTCCCCTTCACAAATAGGACTTGTGACAACTGACGGAATATAATTAGGACGCATAGGCTTGGAGTTAGAGTTGTAAACGCCTTAAACTTAGTCAAAAAAGAGCGTTCCGATGGCGAAAATTCAAAACAGCCCCCAAACCATAGTGTGGCTCTCACAAGTAGCTTCCCCATGACAAATAGAATTTGTGACAACTAACGGAATGTAATTCGGACACGTAGGTTGGGAGTTAAAGTCGAATACGCCTTAAAGTTACTCGAAAAAGAGCGTTCCAGGGACGAAAATTCAAAACAGCCCCTGAACCACCATGTGGCTCTCACAAACAGCTTTCCCATGACAATTACGACCTGTTACAACTGACGGAATGTAATTCGGACCCGTAGGTTGGGAGTTAGAGCCAAATACGCCTTAAACTTAGTCGAAATATGATGTTCTAGGGGCGAAAATTTAAAACAGCCCTCGAACCATCGTGTGGCTCTCACAAGCAGCTTCCCCATGACAAATAGGACTCATGACAACTAACGGAATGTAATTTAGACCCGTAGGTTGGGAGTCAGAGCCGAATGCGCCCTAAACTTAGTCGAAAAAGGGCTTTCCGGGGATGAAAATTCATAATAGCCCCCGAACCACCGTGTGGCTCTGATGGACAGTTTTCCTATGAAAAATAAGACTTGGGACAACTGACGGAATGTAATCCGGACCCGTAGGTTGGGAGTTAGAGCCGAATACGCCTTAAACTTACTCGAAAAAGGGCGTTTCGGGGGCGAAAATTCAAAACAGCCCCCGAACAACCGTGTGGCTCTCACGGACAGCTTTTCCATAACAAATAGGACTTGTAACAATTGATGGAATGTAATCTGGACCCGTAGGTTGGGAGTTAGAGCCGAATACGCCTTAAACTTACTCGAAAAATGGCGCTTCGGGGGCGAAAATTCAAAACAGGCCCCGAACCACCGTGTGGCTCTCACAGACAACTTTCCCATGACAATTACAACCTATGACAACTGACAGAATGTAATTAGGACCCGTAGGTTTGGAGTTTGAGCCGAAAATGCCTTACACTTAGTCGAAAAACTCGTAACACTTAATTTAAAGAGCGACAACTTTGTGAAAATAAAATCCATATATTCTAATAATTATCTTTATATGTTTATAGGACGAAGAAAATACATATTAGATTGTTTGTGCAGTTGGTTAGAATAAATATTGCATGATACATATATATATGCTTTTATTTCCAAGAAGACATTTCTCGATTGTTCTACCTTAAATGCATATTAGAACATGTTCCCTATGGCTGACTGAATTGATATTTTGTAACCAATTCTAATGTTTTTTTTTTTTTTTTTGTAAATGGCTTTGTTGCATGGACTTGTGGATAATCCATTTTGGTGTATGGAGAAGAAATTTCACTTTTGTATAGAACTAATATAGTACTTTTGTCGTTCTCAGCTTTTGTGTAGTTCACTATTACTGATACAAAAAACTTTTGGTAATTAACAGATAATGATTGGCATGGTACATAGATCACCTTCTATCGTGTTACATATATGACCATTTGTCCACGTACATATATGACCTTTTGTCGTGGTCTATAGAAAAAATTTTGTCGTGGTACATAGATCACATTCTGTCGTGATACATATATGACCATTTGTCGACGTACATATATGACCTTTTGTCAAGGTCTATTAAAAAACTTTTGTTGTAGTACATAGATCTCCTTTTGTCGTGGTACAGATTACTATGGTAATTTATACCATGCCAAAATTTAATTTCGCTTGGTAGTAAATATAATTTTTGTATACGGAGGGTTTTGATTTTTGTATGATTCTATATTTTTGTATGGAATTATTATTTTAGTTTGGATAATAGTTGGTTTGTATAGACCTTGACATTTAAAGTTATTTATTTTTTTGCATATAAATGCAGATTGTGAAATGATTGATAGTAAATGTATCATTTTGTTTATATACGTACTACAAGTTGCACGAAATATAAACATGTTGTGGAGAAATTATAATTTTACGATAAAACATGATATCGTGTTTTTGGCGACTAAACAATTAGTAGCTAAAAAGAGATTGGGAAAATAGTTTGGGCGGCTAAAAGTTTTGTAGCAAAAAAAAAAAAATAAACCATTGGCGACTAAAAGTTTTGTAACTAAAAGAAAATCAAATATTTTGTGACTAAAATATTTTGTAGCTAAAAATAAAAACTAAAGAATAAAAACACTTTTGCCGACTAAAAATTTAGTAGTAAAAAATGTGGAACTTTAGGTGACCAAATATTTAGTAGCCAAAATAACAACTCTTTGCCGACTAAAATTTTAGTAGCGAAAAATGTGGCACTTTAGGCAATCAAATATTTAATAGCCAAAACAAGAACTCTTTGCCGACTAAAATTTTAGTAGCTAAAAATGTGAGACTTTAGGCGACTAAAAGTTCGGTCGCCGAAAATATACTAATTTAATTTTATGTCCAACCTTTTGGCAACTAAAAATTTAGTCGGAAATTGAATACATTTGACGAATAAAACAATTTTAGTCGCTAATTACCTTTACCTACAATTCTTCGACGACTACATCTACGACCAAATAATTTAGTCGCATTTCAACAACTAAAAATTTAATCGTCAAAAATAAAAAAAAAAAAAAGTTAACAAAACAATCATTTGGGACCTCAAAATTTCACAAAAAAATATCACTCGTAATAATTTTAAATTTTTTCGCGGGCAGATGGAACTTTCATGCCAAATCAACTATGGAAGTATAAAATTTTAGGATATTTATTCCCTCTAACATCATTATACAATTGATTTGGAACATATTAAGTGACTTGGCAAAATATGTGCAATCATCAATTGTAAGATGTTCTTGGTTTGCGGGTCTGTGTCCCACAGTTTTTTCTTGATGATAAATGTGGTTAATTGTTAAAAATACAACATGTGCATAAGGTACACTTACCGTCACAAGTTGATTAGCATGATTACCTTTAAATAAATTCAACATTTTTACTAAGTTTAAAACTTAAAATTATTTTTTGTCAACCTCAATTAAATAGATTGGCTAGGTTATCCATTGAAAAAATATTGTAGATAATCTTCATTAGACAAACTTAATTAGTTATTTTGTAGTTAAATTGCAAGAAGATGTTTATGGAATTCTAGATATATACATGTATATATGGATTGTAACAGTGTAGTCCTGTAATAGTGTGTTCTAATTTTGTGTTTCATTTTAGGTTTGAGCATCCATGGCCCTTGACAGTTGGGTTGGGTATGGTCCAGGCCAGCTATTTTTGTAACAATATTCATTTATTGGGTATAGTCCGGGCCAGCTAGTATAGGGGCCAACTCCAAAGGAATCCACCACACTTGAGGCCTGTGGTAGCTGATCTGATCGCCCTGATTCCTTTATTTATACCTTGCACATGCATATGCATTGCATTGCAGGTCCAAATGTTCTGATATTCTTTAAAATGTTTAACTCATGTTCCTTCATAGATAAAATTTTGTTGTTTTTTATAATCAAAATTATTTGGTCAACAAATACAGTTTTTGTAAAGCTTTAACAAACACTAAAGTAAATCAATTAGATGCGGGTAGAGATGTGACTAAACACTATGAATGAAACTTAGGTTGCATACAAAAGTAATATTAAACAAGTCTCTAGTACATTTGATCCCATATTAATACTGTGTTTGGTGGGGAAATTAGGGAAAAGATTTGGAAAGAGAAAAGAAAAAGGCATGTGAAATGTGAATAAAATATACCTACATTTCACATAATTTCACACGTTTTTTCCCTTTTCCCTTTTCAAATCTCTTTCTAAATTTATCAACTAAACACAACGTAAAGAGAGGAGGAAAAAAAGATTTGATAATGCACTCTAAAGTCTTCTGTATATTTGGATCTTAAATTTGTGATGAATAATCTATTCACAAATTCAAGATGCAAACGATACTTTAGAAATAAAAAATAAAAAGTAAGTGAGGTTATGGCAAATGTGGATAACATTTGCGGGTCCGTCCACCATTAATTAACACTAACAAGGATAAATAAGTTAAAATTTTGCTAAGAGTAGAATTGCTGCAGATCATATAGAAGGTTGAAAGTGGCTTATAAAATATATATGTTAAATTTTTCCTGTAATGAAATGGAAAGCCACAATTACAGAGAACTTCAAAGCTTGCTTATTTCCAAGTTTACTAATTGGCAATCAAGAAATAATGCGAATATGACAAGCTAGTAGGAAGGAAGCAAGGGAGGAAGGAGACCAAAAGTTGTCTTGATTCCTCGTGCTCATGCAACCAAAGAAGCCATTTCTCTCTTCTTTCATTTTAGAGGTGCCCACGCACACCTTTTTTTTCTTTCTTTATTTATTTATTTATTGTTTTTTTGTTTTTTTTTTAAAAACTGTGATGATAACAATGCCAGTCACCCGAATGATTTTATATAATTTCCAATCAATGTGCACAATGTCATGCGCTCTTTTGTATCAAAGCAAAACCGCACTTGAATAGGGGTGGTGGTATATGACACATGACATGATTGTCATCAATTATATTTTTTTATGACAATTGTTATATATTAATCATTTTTATTATTAAAATAATTAATCATAAATATTCAAGTAAATAATAATAATAAAAAAATGAATATCCAAACAATCATGTTTTGCAGCAGGTAAATCAAGTTAAGAAAGACCAAAACATCACATCATAGCATTAAAACTCACAAATTAAAATTTCAAAACATTTTTAATCCACATTTAGTGAGAACATACTTATCCTTACCTAGAATTAATATTAGGAGCGGGGCACATACTTCCCACTAAAGCAGAATAAAAGAGAAGTAATAGTGTCTAAAATCTCTCCACGGTAACAAGGCAATCAACTATAAGTAAGCAAGACACCCAGTAAGTTAGATATACAATTCTAACTGGGTTTTCTATATATAGGGAAATCAAGCAAGCATTTATTAAGTATGAGAGAGTCCTTGATTGACTACCCCAATCTAAGTTTTCTTTCATGATCATTTGGTGTTTTGTTGGGACATTTTGGCGTGTCCATTCAATGAGCTCATATTTTTTGGCGGCATCATCTCTACTGTGTACTAATTTTATCGCGCACAAATATATATAATTTTTTTATATTTATCATTATTAGTGAGATTTTTCATTATAATTGTGTAATGGAGAAAATAGCAACCCATAAAACACATGGTAAACAATTTTTCTGTGTAATAAGAAAATTTCTTATTTTATTCGAACGAGGGGACAGAAAATGAAGTAGATTTGTTTGTCGCATTTAGCTTAGCGAAAAATTTCATGAATATGATAGGGAGAGGGAGTCGAAGAAAGAAACAGTGACTTCACAACAAATTTGTGGCTCAATGACTTATTCACCATTGAATAAGGTTTTGAGTTTTGGCTGGATTTGTCTTTCAGTTTGAATAAGGTTTTGAGTTTTGACTGGATTTGTCTTTCAGTTTGTGTTCCGACAGCTATAATATCTTGTGATCAGGGACAAGCTTCCACCGCGAGCACGGATAATTAAGGTGTGCATTAAGCTAACCTAGACCCCCATGGGAAACCTCCAAAAAAAAAAAACAATGACTTTAATTTGGATTTTTTAAAAATTTTAATTTATATTTTTTTAATATATAATTCAAATTTATTTTATATATGAATCTCATAAAACACTAATTAAATCTCCAATACACATTTGAAATTGGCTGGGACTTGCCTCCACTCAACCATCTAGATTAGAGGGTCTAGTCCGGCTCATTGGACTCACTTTTGAATCCTTTTTTAATAATTTGAACTGTTCACATTTTAAAATTTATTGAGTATATTATTCTTATAAAAAATCACGTCGATCGGGTAATGAATACTATGTATTCAGATCACTTTTTTTATGAACCGTAAATTTTCTGACCATCTTTTTTTTTAGACAAAAGTGATCTGAATACATAATATCTGTTGTCCAATCGATGTGACTTAATAAATTTTAAAATGTGAACAATTTTAATTATCGACCAAAAAACTCAAAAATAAATCCAACAGAGTGAACTGAACCAGCCTGTCTGGAATCTGAATTAGAGAGGGTCCGGAAATTTGACCATATTTCTGGACAATAATTTTGGTGGAAAATAATATATAACCTTTTTAAAAGTTGAAGGCAGTAGCGGTGGTAGTGGGCCGGCAGGCATAAATTATTGAATTGACGATTAGGAGGGGGACAAGTCAGTGAAGCGTGCAACCAAAATAAAAAATAAAAATAAACAGTAATGTTTAGTATTATAGTAATGTTAAGCATTATGAAAATAATTATAAAAATTTTGTAATTTTTGAATTACACTTACAATAAAACATCACATATTAATGAAGGTAATCCAAGGATCATAAATTTTTAATGATCATTTTAATGAAAAAAATTTCATGATCCTTAATTTTTCCCAAAAATAAAAACCTACCTACTGGAAATCAATAAATCTAGGGAGCCTTTTTAATTTATTTAAAAATTTACCAATTGTTCATCTCACAATCCATTGTTGCTTTTATTTATATATATATATATATATATGTATAATAATTTAACTTTAACATATTTCAATTAATTAAATTATCAATTTATATTACTCATATAAAGGGAGAACAAATTAAAATAAATCTAAATAAGTGATTATTAATAAAACTCATGTACATAAAACCTCCCCCCAAAAAAAAAAATAAGTGATTACTAATTAATTAAGTTAAGCCTCACATAAATTATTTACAAAAAGAATAAATTCATCTTTAAAT